CCGGAGCCCGGTGTGGTGCCCTGTGCCCTCTGAGGCCACAGCAGCACAAGCTGGCACACGGGGAGATGCTTATTCATCCAGCCTGATGTGCTCTGAAAAAGCCAGTATGAAAAAGTCCTCCTTTTCAGCCTCTGCTTAAAAAACCCAGACGTGTGGGACCTGGAAAGTGCCAGGACGTGGGGCACTGCCCTGGGGTGGAGAGGAGCTCGGCTCTGGCAAGCAGCAGGTGATGGTGCCCAGCTCCATTGCTCACCCTCCCCACCACGTCCTACTGCCCGTATCTCCACCTTCTCCTGCTGCACCATCTGATCTGCACCCTTACACCTGGACCCCCGGGTACAGCATCTTTGTGTTTGTCCCAGGCAGTTGTAAGATAAGTAAGAGAGAGATCCTGAGCCCAGAAGCTTCTCTGCTTGCTTCCCCGTACACCAGCTGCCTTCATAAGAGGCAAAGCACCCCCCTTGAGATCCACCTTCCTGGATGGATCCAAACGGCATCTCTTTAGTACTTCTTTTGAATCGAGGTAGTAGATAATGCAGAGCAAATTACTGCTTCTGATAACACAGGTTTCAGAGAAATGTCAGATAATGGCTTCAAGGCAAACTGTAATGAACACAGGACTTTTATGTTCTTCCAAGATTTTTTGTCTTTCTCTATGGCTGCCCTGTTTTTCTTCTTCTTCCTTTAGGAAACACGAGAGCTATGATCTCAAAAGATGCTGCGTGTGTGCATGCAAGAAAAAGTACTCTGAAGGATAGAAGTACAACCAAACACTTCCCTACTCATTTTAATTCTCCTTCAGGCAGAAAAGGAGTATATCATCTCTACGCACAGTCAGAAGCATCCCGTGGCACAGAATGCTGGCAAAAATGAATTATCTATGCAAGGAGAGTTAATTAAAGAAAAGGTTTCATGAGATCTGCATTCAAAACAACGTTGAAAGAAGCTAAATTCAAAAGTGAGGTTTCTCGTGTCCTGCTTGTACGCGCTACCAGGGGAATGGCATCCCTGGTTGGCAACACAGCGCGGTGACTTCTCAGCCACCCCTCGGGGAAGGGATGTGCCACACTGGATCAGGCCACTAGACCATATTGCCACCTAAACCAAGGCCCACAGTGCAAATCCCTGCCAGACAGCTGGCTCTGGTGCAATTCCACAGGGATAAGCAGCAGGTCAGACAAATCCAGATCGAGGAGCAACGCCCCTCCACTGAGCAGAAGACACAAGACCCTTTTAAACGGGCAGAAGCCACAGGTGACATCATGGAGGTGGCTGGGTAATGGGATGGGGCAGGAGCAGAAATGGGCTTTTGGGTTCCCCGCACCCCAGACTACATTTTAAAGTCTTACCGTGATGTGGAAAAGCAAACAGTGTGCCAGAAATCCAGCTGGGCACTGAGAACAAATCCTGGGGATCACGCTCCTCGGATCCCCAAATTTCCAACAACATTTCCTGTTCAATTGCGTATTTTCTGAAGATGTCTGGTTCCAGCAATCCATACAGGGAAACAAAAACCACAAATATTACTCTGTAATTCTTTCTGTAAGACAGCCTCACAGAGGTGCTCCACGGGCAAGGAAAATTAATTTTATATGCTAGAAAATATGCCACTTTAATGAACTCCTGTCCCATTAGGGTGTTGAAGAAGCCATTATCGCTGAAATCTCATGTCTTAGCAGCATAGAGTAACAGTTTGGAATAAGGTGATGTGCCCAAATGTAAAAACCTGCTAACTGCATAAGCAGAATACTGTTGGACAGTTGTAAGATCAGATGGATCAGATACAGAAGCAAAAGCCAGTCTAAAGGCTGACCTTGATTCATTATTAGCTACAAATCACCTGTAGGAGTTCATGCCACTGTAAACAAAGGTGTAACCATAAGGCATGTTTATTCTTAATTGCCAATAATGACCTGACTGCTATCAGCTGAGGCACAGAGGGGAGAGCTGTAACCCCTGTGTGAGCACCTCACAGGAGGCAAAACAGCCCATTTCGACCTCTAACCATAACACAGGACTTCAGCTTCAACCTCATTCTCCCCTTACAGACAGAACACACAGAGCTGTGCATTCTGCTCACACAAGTTTGCTATTTGGAGATGCTCATTAAAGGATGCCATTAAGGCATGCAATACACTTTATGTTGGAGCAGAATTTAAGCACGTGGCAATTATTTGCATTCCTTGGGGATGGTGAGTGCTCTAGGACATTATGGCCCAGCAAAGGCTGGGCCTCCTTATTTTTGTGGGGTTTTCTTTTAGATTTTAAAATAGGGGCCAGATGGAGCCACACAAAAAAGTCAAAGAAATTCTAAGTCAGCACAGCAGATCCTTGGGTGAATCTGCTGGCAGGAGATGCACAGGGAACCTAACGTAATACTGACCAGTCAGAGAAGTTGAGATGGGTTAGTTTTCCTCCTTCTATCAGGGCATCCTTAGGGCATTCTTGGGGACACCAGACCTCTGACGAAACGCCACACAGCTGGAACGTAACCACAGAGCTCCTCTCCCCCTGCTGTGCTAACAATTTCGGCTGGAACCAAAATTGGCACAAAAAGGTGCCAGCATCTGAAATCTAGATTCAAACATAACAGATGGCACGCACAGCCCAAAGCAAAAACCAATCCCCAACTTAAAACACAAAAACAAATATCAGAGGCAAACGGGCATTTAAAATAAATGAACAAACAAGCACAAAAAGAAAATGCCTTAAAGGGAGAATCTTGGAAGTGTTACAAAATCATCAGATGAGAAAAAAAAAAATTAAGAAAAAGATCAGTAGGGGCAAACGTGCAATAAGGAAGGGCTGAGTTGCATAATGCTGCTCGTTCAGTCTGAAGGAGCCTCCAGATGTTCCCTCTTACTGTCATGTAACTACAAGTTGTGAAATAGCTGGTTTGCAGAGGGTGGCTAAACTGGGGCTGATCGTGGTGCCTCTTGTCTCACACTGGCCCGGGGAAGAGAATCTCCATTGGTTTTATTCTAACAGTGGATCCACAGGTATGGCAGAAGGGTGCACTAAGCTCACAGGTGGAATAAAGTAGGGCCAATGCAAGCGGAGATATAGAGGAACTACTAACAGTGACTACTGCCAGAGCCCTACTAGACCCAGGTGTTAAAAATGAAGTCAGGTCAGTATCTAAATGACCTTTGGAGTTTCATGAGTTGTTTCAAATTCCAAACCTGGGCTGCCATAGTCTTTACAGACACAGGAAATTTAAAATTACTATAAGATCAACTTGCTGTTTCACCTCACCAATTACTTGTTGTTTACGAGGTGTCATCAAATGAATTTCCAGTGCTCAAGACTGCGTCTTTGACATCTTCTGCCCCCTGGTTCATGTGATGGGGTAAGAAATTTAGCACTATGTTTCTATTACTTGCCTTTTGGTTTCTGAGCCTTTGGTGGGGAGTCTCAGGGTTACAGAGACTGAGGATTTAGGACTCGTTTGAATTAAGACAGCTACCAGTAGTGCTGCTGGGCTGATGCTCCCTCCATTATGCTTTGCCAATAACAAACTACTCCCTCCATACTCTTTGCCAAATAACAAGATACATGGAAAAAGAAGACCTCGAAGAATCTGTCACATATCATCCCCTCTTGCAGTCACATTCACTTTCCCAAGTTATAGATATGTATTCTTTCCTCTCTTTGAACTTCCACTAGTTCTTTAGTTGTTTGGTGGGTTGTTTTCCCCTCATCTCCCTTTCATGGTCACCCAAGGGACGCCAAGAAGCAGCGTCTAAGGAGTGGGGCAGAAAGGCTGAGAGATCTGGGCGCTGGCCTTCGTTGCACAAACTTTGGGTGCTGCTTGGGGTGACATTAAACACACAAATGTGGCAATGAAGTCCAAGAGGGCTATTAAGGCCACTGGAGATGCTGCCAAAGACAGCAACAACTTGTGTAATAGTTTAATGATTAAAGCACTTGCCCAGGAGGCAGATGTAGGAGAAACTGAACCCTCCTTAACCTAAGAGGGTTTGAACACAGTAAGATCAAGGAGGAACTGCATCTTCCCTGGAGTTTTTCCTAATTATTGGACTCAGGATAAGAACCCTCCTTAACCTGAGAGGGTTTGAACACAGTAAGATCAAGGAGGAACTGCATCTTCCCTGGAGTTTTTCCTAATTATTGGACTCAGGATAAGAACCCTCCTTAACCTGAGAGGGTTTGAACACAGTAAGATCAAGGAGGAACTGCATCTTCCCTGGAGTTTTTCCTAATTATTGGACTCAGGATAAGACTGGGGTGAGGCTCAGCTCTCCCTCTCCATTGCTCAATGGGGCTTATTGAACAGCAATGCCTTCAGGAGTCTGATGAGGGGATAAAAGCAACTAAGCACCTTTTTCTGTCCCCTCTGAGCAGGGCTCTTCTCAGGTGATGGAGGAATCCTGGGTTTCTGTACTCCACCAACAGCCCTGAGAGCAGAGCCTGGAAATCTCCCTTTCCAACAGCAGAATCAGGCTCTTCTTGCTTCTCCCCTCCTTGGTGCCATGGACCATCCAGGGGAGCAGCTGAGGAGCGTGGTCCCATCTTGGAGAACACTTTGGCTCTGAGGCGCCAAGAAGCCAGGAGGACCTGCTGACTGACTCCCTGTGCAAGGACAGCTTTTATGGATGTCTCTCTTCAAGACAGCCATCGGGGCTTCACCCACGGTGGCCAGAGCACCCTGGTCTGCTGCTCTGGGCAAGATGCCTGTTGGGGTATCTGGTGGCTTCCTGGGGGTCCCTGCTGGGTCAACACCTGTAAGGCTGCCCATGTCCCAAGATGAACTCCCAGCCTGGGAGCATCACCTCTGTGCTTGGGGATGGGAGTCCCTTTGACAACACTGCCTAGAATCACAGAATAGTTTATGGTGGAAAGGATCTCTGGAGATCATCTGCCCCAAGCTGGGCCAACTTGTGTCTTGTTTGGAAATAATTTCAGAAGCTCAACAGTTAACAACCTTTTGCTGATCCACCAGGATAAAAGAGTTTTAAAAGAAGACTCTAGAGCCATGGTAAAATGACCACAGTGTACTTTATTTAATGATTTTGGTACCTTGTGTTGCAATAAAATAAAAAAAATCTACAAAATCCAAATATATAAAATTTTCAAGTTTTCCTTTTAAGTTTTACAAGAAAAATCAAGTTGTAACCAAGGAAATTTGTTAGTATGAAGCACTACTTTCAACTTCATTTCATCACAAATTGCAACTTACTTAACAGACCAAAAGAACTATGGTACTGCAGTACATCAAATACTTCACACACTGTGTTCTTTACTATAGCACATGTAACCTCTGCCGCGGGAGGCAGCGGTCTCTAGCCAATAAAGACACTCTTCACAATCTGAACTCTAAAGGAATGTTTGTATACATGGATTCAGAATATATATATTTACAGGAAGATTCCTTTTTTTTTTTTTGTAATAACTATTTTGATTCTTCATTTCAAATAAAATACCAAATACATTTTTACAATGTTTACAAGTCAAAGCACAAGTTCTGCAATGATTATCATTCACCTCAAGTCACTGTGCTTGTACTGGGGGGGATATCTACACTGTTCCATAGACACAAATGTGATCTTCCATCACTTTATTTCCGCAACGGTGACTAAGGAGTATAAGCACAGTAACAATTATTTTAGCACAATCAGTGTATAATGCAACAGTTTACAACAGAGAACTGAGAAACTATTGGTCCTTTCTGTTTAATTTGCCGTTTATCTGCCAACTGTTACGCTAGTCTTTGTCACATAAATTGTGTACAAGAGAAGAGTTAAATAACACAACTTGAATAGGAAAGAGCACACATTTTTTAAGGCAAATTAATAAGCAGCTTATGGTGTTTTTTTTAAACTATACCCCAACAGAACCTAAAAATAAAATGTATGTTTCGCAACTGTCAATAATTGTGTCTTGTTAAATTGAACTCCTCTATAAATTGATCAACATGGCTTTGAACCTGGTTATTCAAAATGAAAATAATTCCTCCCCCCAAATCCCCAGATATAGAAAGTGCATGACTTCATATGCGCCAAAAATAAAACAAAAGGCAGCTGAGGTAGTTAGATGTAAAATGTATTTATGAAAAATAACGGAAAAGCCAAACCCAGGACATATACAGTAAAAATCCACTCATTTGAAATTAATTTCATACCATGCAATAACTTAAAGCAGGAAACGTTACGATTTCTGTAAAAAAAAAAAGAAGAAAATGATTTTAGTAACAATAACATAGGAATGAACATAGAATATACTACTGGAATTTGAATTTCAAGTATTGGCATGTGCATTTTTTTTTACAGGCTTTTTATTTTTTTAGGAAGTCATTTACTTTTTATCTGGCATCACATGAGATCTGGTCTGCCTCTGGGATTGCAGCTCCTGGAAGGCAGAAATACCCTGTGAGTTTCTGAAGATGCACCAGCACATGTGCCTGGAAGCACCACCATCTCAGCTTGGGTGAACTTCTACACATCCATCTTCCACCGAGGCCACTTGAGAGTCACAGAGCCAGGGCTCCTGTTCCTACACCTCCCAGGGACTGCTCAGATAGATGTCCTGGGAGCCTGCCTGGGATGTACCCACACACCTGGACCAATGCGGGATGCGCCCACGTGGGGAGGGGTCCCCTATGTGATGCTTGCCCAGGGAAGTCATGGCTGCCCCATCCCTGGAAGTGTTCAAGGCCAGGCTGGAAGGGGCTTTGAACAACCTGGTCTGGTGGGAGGTGTCCTGCCCATGGCAGGGGGGTTGAAACTAGGTGATCTTTAAGGTCCCTTCCAACCCAAACCATTCTATGATTCTATGTTCCTGCAGAAGCCTGCGTTGCACATCCAGCCCAGGCAGAGGCCCTGCACATTGAGCAGTCCACAAAGAGACAATCAGCCTCCATCTTGGACCACAGAGTCCTCTTGGGCCTTCCAGCCCACACCCATCGCCATTGTATTTCAACCCACACGGTGACCTCTTCTTGTCTGGCAAGAGGGATGGTGTTCCCCCTCCTGCAGACAGGACAGTCTCCAAGAAAATGTTGGCTTGAGCCCACTCAGGACAAGCCAGTACTTGAGCTTGCATCATGCATGGTCCCAGAGCTCCAGCTCACAGCCCCTGGCACAGAGGAGCTCCAGCTTTCCCCTCCATCCCTTCCTAGGAAGAGAAGCCAGCAGCTTTCTCTACAGAAGTGTGCAACTTGAGTGTGCAGGTGCAAGAAGAGACTTCAGGCTCTGGGAATGAATTTCACAAAAAAAAAAAAAAAGCCTGCTTCTAAGAGACACACGAGTTTGGAAACATGTTTCTGCCTTCAGCAGCAACCAGCTAATACACCCCATTACTGAACGTGTTGTGAACGTGAATGTGCTGGCTCCTTTGAGACCTGCTGTGAGACCCCCCTGCTGATGGTCACAACATGGGTACACGCAATTTGGTATCACGAATTCTGCACTAGGCACCTCACTTGAAGAAATCACAGCAGGGAACATCACAAACTGAGATGGTTTTGGTGTTTTTTTTTTTTTGATTGGCCTGTGAAAACATAAGGTTTATACTTCTGAAGTGTGTGCACGTGGCTTACATACAACTTATGAAAGAGAAAAATTTATTTGTGCCTTCTTTCATTTTTGTTTTCTATTAAACAAGGAAATCCTGAAACTTCTTTTTTATTATTATTTTTTTTTCCTTAATTTTACCTTTCTATGCTCCCTGCATTTTGATTATTAATTTCAAAAAGTGATGTTTTGACCAACTTCATCTCTGGCAGCCCAAAATGTGGAGTTACTGACATTGACAGTGTGCTGAACCTACGGTGGCAGTGCCAATTAGACTTGCACATCCTGCACATCCTGGCCTTTAATTTTACCTGTGCTTGCCACAGAACTAAACGGAAAACTAGAAAACTGGAGTGTGAGATTTCTTGGCACGGTACTGCAGCTTTCCCCAAAGTGTTCAGCAGGAGTTCCTGCTCAGTTGCTCAGATTTTTTGGTGGGGGAAGGAGTGAGCCTGCGAGAATCTCAGGTTCTCAGAGAAGTCAAGGCTTTATAGTTTTACGTAAACCTAAGCAAAAAAAAAGATATTCTAATTTTGAAAGGGAGAGAAGCATTTTTCAGGCCTTATTTTGTGGAACACAAAGATGCTGAAAGGCGCATCCTTGAAAAGGATGTGGAAACCTTCTTCTTCATGTGGAACAACAGTAAAGTAAATCATCTTTTGTTTTTCCCTATGCATGTTGGTTTGCAAAGGACAGAAAACCACAAACCGCATCTTTGAGGACTGCGTTGCACCAGCTGACAAGCTGGTTTGTGATCTCAGCACTAACCTCTACAGGCTCAGCATCCACCTTTGTGTTCCTGTGCTTGGGGAGTATTTGACCTATGCAGGCATCCTCCTCACTCCATCACAACTTTTATTCACCCACTTTCCTTTTCACAGAGGCACTCTACAAATGACATCGCCAACTCCCAGTGCTCACAAGGCAGCCTCCACCCCAAGAAGCAGCAGTCCCTCTCCCTGTCACCAGTTCACCTGTAGCCACTGGAGAAACTGGAAGAGGATCTGCCCGCACTTGCTGGATCCTGCCCTCACGCCACCGCAGTCCCTCTCCCTGTCACCAGTTCACCTGTGTCAGTGGTAGCCACTGGAGAAACTGGAAGAAAAGATCTGCCTGCACCTGCAGGATCCTGCCCTTGCGCCACCAAGGTGCCTCTGTCCCCTCTCTCTGTGACCCAGCACTAAAGACTGAGATGAGATTTGTCAGGATCTGAATCCTAGATCCATTTTCAGTGGTAAAAGCATGAGAGGCAAGTATCACGGAGGGCTGGGGTGGCAGGCTGGTGGGGAATGCAGGAGGACTCTTGCCTGAGCTTAGGATAAAATTTCACTGCACCAACTTGTCCACTTTTTTCCCTGCTGCCCCAAAGGCTCTACTTTTTTTTTCACAGAAAATATTAAAATATAATTAAAAGATTCATAAACCATCTGAAAATTTAAACAGCTATTTTAATTTTTCCTGGAATGCAGCCAGGTATCATGGCTTCATCCAGTGACTGGAAGAATTTGAGGAACTAGAAATGCTTTAGTATTATTTCCAATGGACTGCTTTTTAATACAAATCCTGATGTTCCTTCCTCAGACATTTTCCTTGACTTAGCCTAATCAGTATTGGCTGCACAATGACTGACAGTTTCACTTGACAGTAAAGTTCAAGTAAGCTGTAAAATAGTTATTAAAGAGATTCCTTAGAAATAAATTTCACTTAGAGAGGCATTGTGAAATTTAAAAGCAAAATGCCCAAGTGCTTACTCCTGGGGCTCATTGGACTCCATTAAAGCCAAAAGAAAGTCATCCATTTGCTATGGTGGACCTTCAGGGAAGCCCTTTATGATTATAAACTGCCTGTATTCAAAGCAAATCCCAGTATAATAAATGCTTCTGTCCAGAATGCTGGTGTAAGTATGAGTTATTGATGTGTTCACCAGGCAAAATTTCTCTATTGGTCCTTTACAAGTGTCTTTTTGGATTGTTGTTTTGTCTGGGTTTTATGTTTGTTGGTTTTTTTTGCTTAGCTGTAGATCATTTAAGAAGGCTTTGTAAGCACAACTGTTCTCGAGTCTATCTTTTAGGATCATTTGCCTCACATGAAATTGCTTTGTAAGGCTCACCAGTTTTACTCATAACCTAGAAATACTTTTGCACACATCTCCCCAAAACAAATCAAATTCACCAGTCAGTCTGAAAACAAAATTCAAGTCCTGTGTCTCAAGATATGAAGGGTGGAAGCATGCACAAATTAGTTAGCCTTCATTTGCCTCACATGATATTGCTTTGTAAGGCTCACCAGTTTTACTCATAACCTAGAAATACTTTTGCACACATCTCCCCAAAACAAATCAAATTCACCAGTCAGTCTGAAAACAAACTTCGAGTCCTGTGTCTCAAGACATGAAGGGTGGAAGCATGCACCAATTAGTTAGCCTTATCTGAGTACACATTTTGCTGTAATGACTGGAGAATATGCTCTTTTAAATTACTACTGGGTTTATTAATAGGTCTTGTAGGAATCCATTTGGAATGTCCAATGTGAACTAACTGACATGCTCCTTGCACATCACAGATTTCAAGAGAACAATGTATGGTGAGGAAGAACAATTAAAGTTGGTTTTATTTTCTATCATCTCCTTTGCCTTTTTTTTTTTTTTTAATACAAGAAGACTACGGGGAGCTGCACAAAGTTATAAAGCACAGCTCTACTCTGGAAAATTACTATAAAATCAGCATGGTAAGGAACTGTGTTTATTGCATCCCAGTGGTACCATTTCCAATGCACTCAGCTTACAGTAGGAAGATGACTCTCCCATTTGCTGATGCCACGGGTCAAATCCAGAAGTCAAACTGGGTTCTGCATGGCTCTGCAGCATGAGAAATAACAATTATTATGTTAGCAGTTGATTAAAGAGGCAAGTAAGCAAGCATGGGAAGAAGAACAGAGCCAGCTTCCACTGGTGAGACAGCCTTATATGCAGAATGGCACCTGCAGGGAAATACAGTGATGCTCGTTTGTTAGAATAAACATTAGCTTGTTAATAATACACAACTCAAAGAATACACGGCAAAGTATCTGTCCCCTCAAGAAGAACAAATCACACAGGGGACAGCTTCTGCCCTTGAGAATCAATGGGAATTGATTTAAAGGAACTGCAGTCCTGTTAAAGAAGAACTGCAGTGGGATGGCGCGTCTCTGCTTGCTAATCCAACCTGATCCTCAGTGGCTGTTCTGTGAGTCAGAAATCATCTCAGAAACAAAAGATATCCACTTCTAGGTTGCTATGGGCATATACCAAAGATTTGGAATGATGAAGTAAGATGAGTTGAGCAGCAAAATACGACAGCTATCTTTAAAAATGTTCCTGCTTTGCACTTGATAAAATTACTTCAGTATTTACATCTGTAGCTTGTTTTTCCTTCTCTAACTATAGGGATTATTCCAATAGCCAGCTGTTATGCAAAGGAATTTCTGAATTTTGTACTGTGACATGAGAAAAGAAAGTCTGTTGGGTAACCTGAGCGCTGTCATCTCTCATCAGTGGGGTTTGCATATGAGACTCACGAGCACAGGAGAAGAACAGAAGCGAGGAAAAAATCAGAACAGTAGCTAATAAATTTTGCAAACATCTTTGAGTAAATCTTTGAAGAAAACAGACCTGTTATGACATGCTACGCTTACAGATCCTGAATGAGGCTGTGGATGCCTCCATAGTGATTTCTGCTGAAATCAGGGTGATACCGTTCCTGCTTCTAAACAAGCAAAAATTGATAATTTATAATATGGTCGAAGGTCCTTCAGCAGTGATTTGCATGATAAGCTGAGTGACAGAATACCTGAGCATGAACAAATACGATGAGGGCTCACCTACTCTAAAGATTCACAGCCGTTCCCTTATTACAATAAGGTTTTTATCATAATGTCTACTTATATTCTCCATTTTTTTTTACCTTTACAAATGTACACCACTCCCCCTCCCCACCTCCCCAGTACGTGCTCCTCAGCTGCGTAGGATCAAGTTGATGTAAGAACTACCAGCACTAAAGGAATATGGACTTACAAATCCACTGTTTGCTTACAGACGTACGGCATGAGAAAATGAGAGCATGAAAAAATACACAAGCACTTGAACAACACCAAGCCTATAATATTCCATACACAGAAAAGCCCATTTTCTGAGCCTATTTTAAATCTCTGTGGAAGCCATCTGAGATTTATCCTCTGAAAAGAAAATAATTAAAAAAAAAAAAAAAGTTTTTTGACCTATAATCTATTATAAAGATCTATGATTTCTAAATTTAACAATCACTGGCATAATAGCCATACAAAATCCTTGTCTCCCAGGCCTTAGTTTGAGACACCTTTATATCTTATTGCTAATAAACAACTCCTGTCAATAGCAACGAAGTCATATCTAAAGAGTATCTTTCACTGTCCCCCTGTATGTTCCAGTTAGTTTGCAATGTATCTAGAACTTTCTCAGCCAACATCTTTCCTAGAGGAGAGAGTAATTGCACCATAAAGAGTATTTTGGCATTAAGGTTTGTTGGTTGGCTGGGGTTGGTTTTTTTTTTGCTGTTAAAAGACTCTGCTCCTCCCTTTATCCACTGAAACAGCAGGGGCAGCTCTTCCACAGTGTTTCATGAACATCTCTTAATCCCGACCACGGAAATCTTTTCTTTGCTTTGGTGTCTTTTTGATCTCTGGCCTCCCTGTTAAGGTCACCAGTGGGGATGTTTCCACCATAAAAAGTATGTAGGGATTATGTACGGATGGGAAGGGGGCTGTGACAGCACCCTGCTTGAAAAATCTGTGTCGGGAGTTGGAGGTACAGCCAAGCCTGTGATATTGCAACTGAATTCCTCCAAGTACCAGAGTTAGGTTAAATATTAAACCACCCACTCGTTCTGACTGATTTTTATAAATTGTGTACTAACCTACATCCTTCCTGCTTATGAAAGGACTTAAATGCTTTGCTGTCAACAAGCCTTTCTTTATTCGGAGATCACATTCACTATAGGCAACATCAGATTTCTTTTTTTCCCTTCTGCCTCACTTCTCAGTAGCTAAAATCCACCTGTAAGTTAACAGCAACGAATAAAATATTTCCTCCACTCATTCACCCAGTTCTTAGTGTTGTGGCTAAATGCAGTATGTGCTTTGTTACAGTCATTTCTCCAGGATAAACTGCTTCACAACCAGCACAGTCATCTCAGAAATGAAATTGCACTGCTGCTGGGTAGAGTGACTTCTTGGTTGATAAGGAAATAAGTGACCAGGAAGAAATTTGGCCGGTGCCCCATTGCCAGTAACTAGAGCTGCCTCTATCCCAGCAATCCTCTTTTGAATACAGCATGTACAAACCAAATCAAACGGATGAATGATTCATAAGATGAATGATGAAAGCTTAGCTAGCATGAATTTACTAATGTTGCATTTCTTCTGGATCTCTCTTTCCAGTGTGGGCACCAGGCTGAACACAGCTAACAACGGCGGGCTTTTTTCTCCCCCCGAACTGATTAATGTTTGCTCACGGGAGCTTGATTACTGTATTACAAGTCACAAATTTGCAAGATTAAAAATGTCTGTTGAATTAATTAGCTGCAAATCAACCTAAGCAAAGCCTGACGAGTTCCAAGCTGTTCCAATAAAATAAAAAAGGAGGAATCGATACCAGCCACAAATACATGACGACACGCTGGCACTTGGCGACTATAAATAGTGGCAGCTGCCCTCTCTGCTGACAAAGGGAGATTTTTCATTGTCCACACAGTGCTGCCTAAAGGCTAAATCCTGCCCAGATCGGTGTGGCAGCCTCACTGATGGCTCAAGTGGTCTCAGTGAAATATCTCCTGCGGGCCAGCCCGATAACCCAGGGGGAGCTGGAAAGGAGCTGCCTACTTTGTCTTCCTTTTCATCTCCCGTGGTGCCAGAGCTGGGACCGACCACAGCACGTGCGGATGCTGGGCAAGAGGAAGGCTACGTGCATCCCAAAAGGAGAATGCAGGGAATGATGTTGGGAGTCAGTCGTAACTACATCTGAACTTTCCCTCTGTAGCTACTGCCACTGTCTGACCCAATCACCGCAACAATTTTAGACCTATTGGTCCGTAAATCAGATCTTGTTGGAAAGTTACTATGTTTTTCGAACGCTGTCCTTAATGCTGAATGATGACTCAGGTCAGGAACTCAAGACATAACACTTGAGCTCCAATGCAGCAAGTGTCTTCACTGGCTGGCAAACTTTTCCTCACCTTCATAAAGCTTAATATTCATTCTTATCAAATATTGTCTAAGAAACAATCTGGGATACACAGATAATAATGCAGAATGCATACTGAAAAAAGCATTAGTAATTAAAATTTCAGAAATAGCTACTGTGTATTCATGGTACGTTTAAATTGACAGGGGTATTGTTTTCAAATACATACATTTGAAATTTATCTTCAGTACATAATCCAGGAACTACTAAATCTTTCCTTCTGACAGCATGTGTCAGGCAACTGCATATGTGTTGGATAACAAACACTTTTCAGTGTTCTTCAGTCAAAATTCAAGTAAACTGTCCTAATTATTGCAGGTTATTTCCTTCATAAACTACTGACATTCAGTGAAACAAATACAACCAACATTAAATGAAACAGACATTTAATCGATCCCTTTGCTGTTTGCCCATATGTTTTTTTCCCTTGATTAACTAAACGTGATAAATCCTTATTTTTTTTTGTACAAATCTTTTTTTTCTTCCCCACTCTATTCTTTTACCAAAATATTTAAGATGATGAAATATAGCATCAAACATATTTCCTCCACAACTTTTCATTAACATACTGGCATAATACATTGCAAAGCTGTCTCAAATAATGACTGGAATGTGTTTTCCAATAATGTTCTTTTCTTTTTCAGCTATCCCTTAATTACCCTTGGTGATGATGCTCCTGATGCTTTTTTTTTAGGCTTAGAATTTAAATGAATGGGAAGATTAAATCCTAATAGAATCTC